GTAAGTTCTTATTATTTCACTCAAAAGTGGACAACGCTTTTGGAATTTGTCTTTTGTGCTTAATTTGCCTTCTTTGCTATTTTGCCACGTACACAAGGCAATAACGTCACGTAAATTTGACCAAATTCGATCAAATTCTGGTTTTGAGGGCATAGTCAATTCTGCCATTAATGGCCATAAACGCTTTCCTTTTTAACGTATTTATCGGGCACTTTCTATATTTCTTATCCTTTCATCAAGTTTTATCTTTCAGGCAATTCTTGGCTTCCATATAGTCGTCTCTCTCATAGCTCTTACTGTCATGAGTAAGCTGGGCACTCGCTTTTCTTTGATACAGATGTTCATTGTAAAAGGGTGGGTATTAGACACAAGAATTCTTCTTGTTTTATATCTTCGTTTCAGATTATATCGTTTCATTGCTCCTTCCAATGATGATATTCGTGCGCTCATGCCACCATCTAAAGACAATCCCAGAGCAAGAAAGAAAAAGCGGTAGGCCTTGTGGAATTTGTGATGAAGTGCGATCAAGGCATTCATTTTCACTTATATAGAGAAGAGGAAGAAGCTGAGGGTTTCAACGTACCTAAGTCTCTTCCGTTACGTCTTCGTGTGGGCAGCGTCTTGGAGGAGGAGCTTAGAAATCTGCCCATGTACTCATCAGTTCATTGGCTTTCTCTGTTTGTACCATTATGTCTCATCGTAAGTCTTAAAGTTACCACTTCATTTTCAGGGTTACCAAAATGTAGTTCTAGGTCTACTCACTGAGTGAAGTTTATACATTTGTGTTTCCGAGCAGCACCGACACAAATGTTGCTATCCTTTGGCTCCTTATAGCTGTAGCCTTCGTTTTGCAGGTTGGTGTTCCACTTGATTTGAGCATTGCCTGATTGCGCGAGTGCCTAGAATTTTACCAAAGATAGATTTTGGATTATCTTTGGAAAAAAATTTGCCGTGATTGCTTAGCGTAAATATATTAGTTAACCTTTGGTTATGTTTTGTTTTTTTTTACTGTT